CTAGGAAGGCAAAGCAGTAGCAACCACTAAGTATATTCTTAAACATCTTTCTTAAAACAGGAGTTGTTACACAGTGAATATAGAAGTTTACATTAATACCTTTTTGTTTACAGTTGGTTTAAAAATGAAAGGTCAATTATTGTAGTAGCCAAAAATGAAGCATTGAAAAAGTCTCCCAAGCCTGACCAGTTTGAGAAATCAAACTTAATCAAGACATACATGCTTATGAAAAAGTGTATTCAGAGGAAATGCCATGGTAGAAGACCTTGAAGTTTATGAAGTTGTGAAGTTCCCAGGGTAGTATCTTAAACACTTCACTCTGAATGCCTTCAGTAATTTTCTATTCCAAGTTTATTACCTGATGAATGCAGGAGTTTCAGCACACACGCTGTATAAGCCATGTCTCAGTCTCAGCTAAGGAGCTGCTCTTACAATGGCTTTTAATGGATAATCATGGAAGTTGATGGCAATTCAAATGAATGCAACAGTCAAACCCTTGCAGCTTTGATTTGCAACAGAAATTAACAGAGCAGAACACAGCATCTCAAACATGCACAGCTGCTGCTCCACAGTCTCAGTCAGTTTCCAGTAACTAGAGGAATTTTAATAAGCAGCATCCTTAAGATGGATGTTGATAAGGGATTCTGTTAGTTACAGTTATAAATGTAAAAGCAAGAATCTGACCTACCTCCAGAAACTTCACCAGCATTGTCAAAAAGGGATTTTTTTAAAAATAAAAGGACAGTCATTTTAGTCATGTATTATGAACATGAAATTGCTTTCACTTTCAAGTCCCTGTCCCCAACCATTTAAAGTATTTTCCCCCTAATATTCCTAAAGGTACTGCCAAAGAGTCAAAAGCCCACCTTTGCAACTAGCTACAAGATTTTTCAAAACTGCCATTCCAAACCAATATTTAACACAGACACGTGTGATTGTCAAACAGCCCTGGCATGCTTTCATTAGAGGCACGTGCTAGGGGCAACAGGCCTCAGCCTAGAAATTTATTCCCAGAACACAAGAACAATGATGCCTGGTCAGCCTTCCATTTTGAAACACAGAACAGATTCATTTCCTTGCACATGCTCAGTATCTTCCATTTCAACATGCACGTCAGCACCAGAACTCTGTGATTTGTTCACACATAGTACTTAACACAGAATATAAAAGCTAAGCATCTTATAATCAAGGTGGCAATAATAGGGGTTGCTCAACAAGACAGACAATGTATTATCCGATGTCACTAACATCACTTTATTAGCTAAACAGAATGTTTAAGCCTTTCCACTGGAAAACAAAGTTTACCAGATGATATTTCAAAGCCTAAAAGGTAAAAAAATTACAAATATTAACACTATACAGCATGTAAACTTAATAAAATATCCTGACAAGACAGATAAATTTTTCCCCTCCGATATTTTCCTCAAACTTTGTGCAGGTAACCAAGGACAGGGCTTTTCTAATTCCTTTTTAGCCATATGTCAAAACAGAAAAATTGAGAGTTTATAGAAATGAATTATCTATTTACTATAACAACTCTACACAAGTCAGAGGTCAAGACCAGTACTAAATGAGAGCATGTCTTTCATGAAACCTCATGTTTCTGCTTGCAAGGTGAACAGAATTGCAGGAACAAGTAAGCTGGAACAAGTAGGTCAAAAACCATAAATCAGTTCAAATCATCTAATACAGAGTGAAGTGCTACAGACTTAAAGCTGACACAGAGGACGAAGACACAGAGTTCTTAAAATTTAGAACTGTATAACTGCTTGCCCTTCTATTTGAAACTAGCAATTGTAAGAAAAAAATTCTGTATATCATGAGATGGCTTCCTTGTGAAGTAAAAATGAATTATGGTCTCTCATCACACACTGTTGTAGGGGAGATTCTTGTCTAAAAGTAGAAAGAAATGGAAAAAAACAAAGGCGTTGGCCAAGGCTGCCACAAGTCAGCAGCCTGATGCTGTTGGGCTTCACACCCCTCTCTAAATTGAGACACTGGCAGTGTGTTAAAGAGCACAGGGCTGACTCTCCATGGGCATGTCAATGCCTATTTTACAGAATTTTGTAAGACAAGGGAGATGCAAAAATATTGTTTCGCTTATCCATCATTCCACAATCTTCACTATACGCATTCTTTAAGTGGTGTGCAAGTTACTAGTTTTCTTCTCCACCTAATGAAAGGTGCACTCAGACTGAGCAAAACAATGCCTTGGTCTTAATAAAGTTACACATTCATTAGCTTTTGATGAAGGCCTGCAACCCTTTTCCCTTTCCTAATAATCTCCTTCAAGTACCCCTAGGCTCTAATCACAGTATGCTCAGTAATTAAGCTTTTGATTTTAAATTTGTTGAAAGCTGCCTACAGAGATATTTTGATTACCAGCTGAGCCTCAAATACAAACGAGCTGAGGATTTCCCTGCTTTCTGGGGGGAATCTGTCAGCAAGTTTCAAGATGTGATGCCAGTTCAAGTGTTTTGGCCACATGACAAGGATTCATTACTTCTTTCATAGTGTCACAGAGCAAAGCAAAATTCTCTGCAAAGCACATCTGGATGGTTTCTTTTCTAGCATGTCAGTCTTTGTATTTTCTCTCGGATTCTGCAACCACTAGCAAGGCAGCAAAAGTACATGGACAATTTATTTATTTAGCACCATGGAGCCGTCACCTAAGATTGACACTGCTTTAGTAATTATTCCTTCCCACAACTAATAAACTTTCTTTTATAATTAGCACTGGGAAATTGGTTTTCCAGGTATAAATTATACTTACAAAATACACCTGAAATATTAACCTGCATCTCTTATCTCTTCCAAATTTCAAAACTATTCAGTGAAAAAAATCTCAAATAGTGACTTTTCTAAATAACGCTGACTCTAGAGAAAGGAAAGGGTTTTAAAAAAGAATTAGTGTATCCTAACCTGCCATGAAAAAAATAGTATTACTTCTGCATTTTATACTTTGATGTTCATTAGCATTTTGAAGTACAACCTGGAAAGAGAGAAACCATTTCAGAAAATGATAAAAGGTGGTTACCATTAAATGCACTGAAAGACTAGGGAGTTCATCTGTAAGTATAATTCATCAGGAAAAGAGGCAACAGTCAACAGAAAAAAGACTACTTGTGCCCCAGACTGACAGATGTCACTCATTACTTCTTTTGTCTCTGATCATCATGTCTTAAATCAGCTTCCAAATCTTTATTTTTACAAGAAACATCTTATTGGTGTGCATAATAACCAAGGATTATGAAATTCTTCCTACTTCATCAACAGGAGTATAGCACCAAAAAGTCTGCCCTGAAAATGTAAACTAATGACCAATACAAATCACCTCAGGAAAGCAAATTAACTGAAAATATTCAGAATGGATGGCATGAAAATCAGTTTTCTGAAGAAAATTATTTGGCACTCAACACTGGTTTACAGCCTATATCATACTGTTTGGTATACAAATACCTTATAATATGATACCATTCAAATATCTTTCATACTAACTGCAGTATTGTCTCATTAAATTATTAATGGTCAAGTACTTTATGTTTAAAAATTATGAAAGAACCCAACTTCGAAGTTGTAATAAGCATTCAAGACTGGATGAATTTCTAGTTTTTAATGTGCATGAGGTTTTATCTGATCTGCCATACTTGTCCTTGCTGAAGGTAGTTTTCTTTTCTTACTAAACTTAAATAGCTGACTCACTCAGACGGCCTCAGTTCTTCTAATCTTTTTCTTAAATACAAAACTCCAGTAACTCCCACTGCCTAATCTTCTGCGAATTATCAAAAATTAAATTTTTAGAAAAAAAATACATGGGGAATATGGGAAATCAGTTCAAAAATACTTCCCCAGAAATTAAACCTGACAAAGCTGTCTAGAGAGATGACTTCCCACAGGACAGGTCAGGTTTTGAAGCACAATGGTAGGAGGACACTACACCTAGCAGCCACCTGGAGATGGTCCTAGGAAACTTGGACACGGTGACTCTGCCTGAAGAGTGAACCTCCACCACCCTGTGATTCTCTAACCAATATTTCACAAACTCCAAAACCTACAACAATGGTAGAATAAGACAAAGGACACTGACAGTGTTCCAGCTGATTATGAAAACAAGAGACATTAAATGAAATTTGCAGGTAACACATTTATAAGCTTTGGGAAGGATGTTTAAATATGTTTAACTGGGTAGACACTAACTTTCTATTGTAATTGTTATGTACTACATATGTATCAATATAATGTATTATGTGGCTGATCATGTAAGGAAAAGATGGGGGGTTTCTCCTAAAAAAGAATCAAAAGAAATTGTATTTCTGGGAGCAAAGAGGAAATATTCAGAACTACAGTGGAGATGTTGGTGTAACTTCAGCAGCAGTAGCCAGAGATAGAGGGAAATAGCTAGAAAATAAACCTAGAAAAGCAGTTACCAGGAGAGCAACCTGACATTCAGGAAGGCTCTATTGTGCAGTTTGCCCATCCATATGGACAGAGCATGCATATTCCAGGACAAGGCAAGAACAGTCCTAATTACTTTGCAACTCCACCTGAACACAAACAAAACCAGAAACACAGTGCTTTTTGGTTCACTCACACAGAAGTGACTGCAAGAAATACATTCAACTTTTTTTTCCCAATCCATACTCCATGCACAAATCATTACTTTGGTAATTCAATACAAGAAAGTTATTAGTAAGACCTCTGAGGTTAACGGTTCTTTCCTAGAAAAATACATTTAACTTCAATTTTTACCTCTACCTTACGAAATGTGACACAATTCTAAGTTATTACTTAATACTTTATAATTGCTAGTTAGACTCCCAACTGCAGAATTATGGAGCATATACATTTTAGGACAGCCTGTGTTATTTACTAAGTCTGTGTAAGACACTAGATAACAAAAAAGCATAATAGTAAGACCACAAGAATGAGAGACATGAGCTTATCCTCCATTAGAAAACAAAATTATGCATCTGAAACTACACTGCCCTTTAAGACCTTACCTTCTTTTTGTCCCTCATTGAGCCCTTCCCTCGGACCATTATCTTGCATCCTGTTTCTGCCTCAAGCTGTTTAGCTGTTAGTCCTCTGGGCCCAAGGATTCTTCCAACAAAGTTAAACTGAAAGAAAAATAATAAATAATTTCTAAAAAAATCAAGTAAATAAAATTAGTTTAAAATTTAACAAGATGTATTTCTGTGTCTAAAAACATCAAGTATTTAATGGCTTAGGACACCACACTAAATGCCTGAGGTTGAAAAATGAGTTAGGTACTGTTTTCATACACTAAGTATCCATGTGTCCCCAACTCTGGGGATACAAGTCTCAGGTGGAACTAGGTCTTTTAGACATAACATCAGGTAGTCTACATCAGCAGCAGTTCCTAATTTCCTCCTCATTAAGCTGTACAAGCTCTTACAGAAAATCCAAACTGCTCTCCCTCACCACTAAGGTGTCCAGCCATGCTCATCCATAGGTCAACAAGGTGCACCATGGCAAGGAGAAATAGCATTTCCTTCAGAAAAAAACCAAATGAGGGCTTCCTACATGTTTATTTTAGGATTCATGGGCAACATTTCTTAAAAATATGGTATTGTCATATTTACACACACATACATATATAAAATATCTGTATACACAAAAATTTATGTGTCTATACAGACACAACAAAAGCACATCATTTTTTGTAAGCTGCATCCTTTATTTAGTTGTACATGCAAATAAAGCAAGCATTTCATGTTTAATTGGCTGACTTCAGCAGACAGCCCCCCGCCTACAGTAATACCACCATTTAGCCATACATAACATTATTTCCTAGTTATTTTCAAGAGCTTTTTCCCTTTCATTATTTTCAACCACACATTCTGAAAATTATGACATAAATAAAAAAAAGCACTAAGTGATGGCAGCATTGGGAACACAGAGCAGTACTCTGTGACAACTGCAGTGCAAAGATGAAGCACCAGCTCAAATGAGAGATAAACTAAGAAATTTCAGATTGAACATTAAATTCAAAGAAGAAATTAAAAGAACAGAAACTCTGCTGTAACATTCTGCTCTGGATATTTTAGATCCCGGTAAAGAAAGTTATTCAATGGAATTGTGAAGAAGTTGTTGGCTTTCATTTCCTCAGCTAATTAAAACTGGGCTTGAGTACTAAAACTCAATGTATTTGAAATTCTTATGAAACTGAAAAGACCAGAAATGATTTAGAAGTAAGCAGAAATTATGAACACAAGCAAATTAAAGTTCTTTAAGAAAATTAACAGTATTTCACAGCAGCTAAACTATTCTGGGAATATACAGTCCCAAAGTTATTTAGTATTGCAAGCTCAGAAAACAAAGACATATTATGAAGTCTGAATCAGGGGAGGTGACGGAGTGTGTAGTTAAGACAAAAGGAATTTGTGAACACATACAGAAACTGAATCATAAGAAATTAAAGAAACATTCATTAAGCCTTCATAAAGCAATGAACTAGCTAAAAGTAACAAAATTCAGCTGTGAAATATTATTAAAATCTTACATGTCACACATTTTGTGTTGAGTAGCAAAACTGTACCATTGTTTTACATGAACACTATTTTACTTGCTTTTCTCCACAACTACACTTCTGCACACTAAAACTTTAGATATCCATGCCATTTCACTGACAAAGCTAATATTGCAAAGCTGATTTGAAATCAATATTGAACCACACACATGCTGACTATTGATATATTCTCAATCTCCCAAGAAAAACAGCAGTCTCTAATGTTTCATTAATTTGGATCATGAGTAAAAGAATAATCAATAACATACTTCGGATTAAAAAAATAAATATAACTATACAAAATACAAAGGGAAAAAGGGAGGAATCTGTATTACCCTGAAACTTGCAACTTTATTGATGTTGTCTGAACATTATTTAGAATTTCTAGCTGAGAAATCACATACTTAAAACTGCAATACAATCTGTGTTAAATATTAAACCAGTTCCTTTACCAGTTACTCTCAGGATATGTTCCTTTTAAAGAGCCTTCATAAATTGTTCCAAGGCAGCTCAACCCCGCCTTTTCTTTCCAAATTGTACACATTAACACATGTAGTCTTTTTGTATAGCTGGTCCTTCCTAACAGCTACCTGTTCTCATTGCCTCTCTTGGGTCCTACAATTTGATCATATCTAACAGCACAATGCCTAGACAAGGTAATACTTCTACTGAAATCTTAACAATGTTAAGTTACTCAGAACAATTATACCTTATAAACCACATTCTTATCAACACATCCCAGGTTGTTTCTTTCTCTCCCTCAAAAATTCAGTTATGTTTGTTTCAACATCCATTGTCCCCAAATACTCCTCTCCATTACCTCAGCCTTGATCCTGCCCCCTGGTTTTATATTCATATGAAACTTTTATGCCCCCCTACAAAAGCATATTGCTCTGCATTTGTATAATGAATTTCATGTTGTTGACTTCAGGCAGAGTAATTTTAAGACAGAATTAAAATTCAAAATTGAGTTTAAAAGCATTTGATAATGACCTAATTACTTTCTAAGCATACTTTCTATCCTACCAACCAAATTTTCTTCAATGTTAGAGATAAAAGATGAAGGAGAACGGTGCAGGACCCCACCCGAGTTGCAGTCTTAATCAGTCATCAGTAATGAATTATCATAGATTAAGCCAAGTATTGCTTTAACAAATTATCCCCTACCTTTTGTACCAATGTATTACTGTCAGTATTCAGTTCCTCAGACAGCCATCCTCAAAGTCCAACCTCAGAACTCATAGAAAAGCATAATTCAGACTTTTGTTGGAAAGACAGAGCAGTGACCAGCAGGACCACAACTCAGGAACACAGAGTAAGCTTTCAAGTTAGACAGTTTTGTCAGAATCCAGTTGTACCTGCAGCTACCGCTTCTCTTACCTCTCAGGCCAACTACACTATCAAAAAGAACTATCAGAACAAGACATCTGACAAATTCAGAAGACCATTCTTAACATCTAACTCTACTTCTTGTGCTCTTTGTCTTATATTGTCACCCAAACACACTCATCACTGCATTGTGTTTCTCTATAAATAACACACCTATGTTCTGGAATACTTCTTGTTCTAACATTTGTACAGATACAAAGCTAAGAATATTTCCCTTTGCTTTCCTGGAGTGTTTCTCACTTTGCATTTGGGTACTGTAGGATTCCCCTCACCTCCAGCGAATTCAGAAATCAATTTGACCAATTTAAGGCTGCACTGCTTTGAAGGTTAGCCTCACACAGGTTGAAAAGTGAGATTATGTTAAAAATTAAGCAGAAGTGGATAAAGCTAAGATTAACTGCTTCTACAACACAGAAAAAGCAATCAAACGAAGTCAGTCTCTCCTTCCACAACAATTAGTATCTCCCTACACGCAATATATTTGCATATGAAAAAATTTCACTAGTAGTATTTCACAATTGTTTTCCTGAGTTTTATTTTCACGTGCTTAAATCTTCCTCAACTGAAAACCAGAACTAAAGAAACAACCTCCAGAAAACGGTGACACACAAACACAAGAACATCCTAAAAGCCAAAAATTACTAGTGTTAAGTGGAGCTCAGGTGCTGAAGTTCTAACCAGTTATACCCATTGTTGCTCTCCCTCTGCCTGTCTCTCTGCATCATCACCCTCACATTCCCTTAGTTTGCTAAATTTTCATATTTGAAGTTTTCAGCATGTACAAAACACTATTGGATCTTGCTGGCGTGTAAGACAGTTGTTGCCTTTTTTTGAGATGTCCAAAATACACACCCTTAAAGAAAAGAGAACAGAGACAGCATATCTGGGGAGACTGCACATGAGGATCTTTGTTACTTGGTGTTTAAGCGGGAAAAAATGTATTGGGGAAAAAAGCTGCTCCAAATCCTAATATTTCTACCTACTCTAGGATATTAATAATTATTCTGCAGTAACTGATGCTCCCAAGAGTCAACAAAATTTCCATGTGATGACCCTACCTAGCAAGTCAACTGCATAAGAAACCCCGTAATAAAAACATCTTCTATTCCCTACACACAGAACAACTATTTCCTAAGCAGACTAGGTGTTTTTATAGTCTGCACCATTCCCCACACCCAGAACAAAAGTAGTAAAGAAAAGTAAGAATGAACCTTTACAAAGACTCAGAGCTGTTGATTAATAAGAGACTACAAAAAAGTGTGTCTGGTTTTTACAGTATGGGAAATGCAGTGTTTAAGGATCTTTCCATGCATGTTAAAATCTGAGGAACTTCAGGCAGACAAGTAGTACTAAATTTCGTACTTCTATTGTGACTTATGTGTTTTCCTTTGAAATACGAAAATAATATGTGGCAAGAACTAATTTAGCTTACAAAAAAAATTCTTTACTTCATTAAGGGAAATGAATTTCAAAAAATCCAATTTGATTGAAATACCCAAATCTAGCAAGAAAGAACATAAATGCATGCATTTGATCAAACAATTATTTAACTCAATTAAAAACTCATTTATTCTACCATCTTATTAGCAAATGTTCCAGTGACTTACTAAACATTGATTTTGCAGAGTCAGTTACTCATCACTGGAAAAAAAAAAAACAAACAAAATAAGCTATTCTTCAAGTCTATTTCAACTTAATGAAATCAAGTAAAGTTTTAAAAAGCTTTTATGTTCTTAGGTACAATGTGTATGAGTACTTTCATACCCAGCCTAAACATTATTTTAAGTCAAATCTCAAGAAAAACTCAGTAGTTCCTCGTTACAACAAAACCAAAAGATGCTTTACCTTTCATGCTGACTTTAAACATACTTTAAGATAAAATAAGCAACTAAACTCAGAAAAACATTATAAACACACAAAAAAGGAGCCCTTTCCCTACTAATGATTCACAGCAAAAGCTTAACAATGTATCTATGTTTCTGGTAATCCAACATTTGGTTTCACCCTCTGATCCCCAGAAAAACTACATAAATTCCATTATTTCCTTTAAAAAAACCCCACTGTAATTACTACAACTGAGTACTTGTAACCATAACTGTCCACTCTTGATGATGTAATTTAATTCTTAACCTCTGGCAGAAAGCAGCTTCAGTATAGTTATGTCATACATGGAAACAAGGTCTCCATTTTGAGCCTACC